AGCACTCATTGAAATATTATTTAAATTCAATGTAGAATTTACTCGAAGGTTTAAGTCCCACAAGCTAATTACCAATCATAGTTCCCGCAACAAATATAAATAAGGTAAAAAGACAAAGGTAAAAATTAATGATCATATTAAATAAATAAATAATAAATAAATAATATTCAACAGTTTTATACTCTAGAATAACTTTGAAAAGCCCACTGGCTTTTGGGAATGGCCGAGCTCTAATAACTTCATAATAGAACAGTCAATTCCCGCTTAACGTTCATGGCTTTTGGTTGGTCAAAACCGCAAGAATGCCTTTCAAATTGAGTTCCTGTTATGAGGGGTATCCCATGACCAGACCCATTGTTTCTCGTTTCATTTTCATGGTTCCATTTTTCGCAGGGGCTGCGGTGTGGTTCAAAACGTATCAGCTGGAGTCCGGAGGCATTGTGCAAAGTCAGCGTACGACGCTGTTTTACGATTTAGCTTGGACATGCCTGCTTTGTCTTCCCGGCACCAAAGGGGGCACACAATTCCGCCGAAATCCAGAAAACTAGACCCGCAATCAAACACTAGCAGCCCCAAGTCTGCATAGCGCATTTTCCCTTCAAGTGCATGGACATATTACGCATACGACCCGTTATTAATTTGGCAATTATGAAAGAAAAGCACCTTTGAGGGAAACAAATCTAGGTTTTCAAATTTAAACTATTTGGTTTACTTACTTGAAGCAACATACTTTTACAAACATTAAGCTTATTTTAAGTTCTTTGCATATCTTGATACATTAAAACTAGTCTCTGAAAAATATAGCTTTAATAAGATTGACAAGACTTTTGATAATAGCCTTATTTTTTCTAGAAAGGAAGATGTTTGGACCAGCACCATTTTAATTTTCTTTGGCAATGACCGTTTAAAATATCAAGATCCATTAATCTTTTATAAAGATTGGCTTGTTCTACTTGGATAGTGAGAAAACTTTATAGATTGATAATTTTCTATTAATTGATATGATGCTGCTATAAAATTGATTTGGCTTTAATTTTGTTATGCAATTTAACTGTGTCAATTCAATTTGAAAAATCACTGAGCAGTACAGCATAGTGATCAATTGTGACTGTTTAAAAAAAATGTGATTTAATTGTCGGAGATGTGGCAAAAGCCGGTGGTAATTGAACTAATGGAATAAGCCACGCTTTCTGCATTTAAATTAATTTTGCAAAAATAAAGTTTTTTTTGTGTTGGGCTGCGAAGCGTTCGCACACTAGTAATTATGACTATTAACGAGCGAAGTTGGCAGAGCTGTTACAGTTGAGGGCTTCCACTTAACCTCCAAAGTTAACCTTGTGGATGGTTGATTCCTGGCCTGTCCTAATTAAATTACGCAAAACCACATCGCAGCAGGAGTATTTGTGTTTTTTTTTTTTTGTTGATAATTAAATAATTCATTGGCTGGCAGAGTTTGCGATTGGCTTGTTGCGGGGCATTAAGTTTCCTGCGTTGTCGGTATCAATATCGGAAAACAGCTCCACCGGTTGTCAAGGGTCCACCACCACCGTGGCACCTCCGAATGTCCTGACAACAGTCATTTCACTTCAGTTCGCTTCATTTCTGCTGGTATTTTCTATTTTTCTATCTCCCCCGGGGGTCATGCCCGCAATGGAGCTTCAATTTGACATTGACTTCGGTTTGGGGAACGTGGCATTCGGATGCGGGGCGCCCCAGCCCCGGCCAAATTGAATATCATCGAAGAACCGGACCCCGAGTGCCGGCAATTGGAACGGCCAGGAAGACGAGAATCCTCCGCCAGCGAGTTAATTAAGTGTGTTTGCGTGTCAGTCCTTGTGTTTTTGTGCGGTGGACACATATTTATAGACGCGGTCTGCTGCTTGATTAAACAGACCCTCGACTCGCACTCAATTTTGTGTATTTTGTGGGTTTTTCTTTCCGCACACTCAGAGAACTCGGAAGGGTGAAATAACAAAATAATTTGAAACATTTCTAATATTTCATTAAGGATCTGACATTTAAATATTAAATGAATAAAATGATTTCGAAATAATTTCTAAAATACAGCTTTTCGAATAAAAATTAAATAAGTTTAGGTTCTTGCAAAATGTTGACTTTTTCATTAACTAGGTCAAGCGTTTTAAACATTGATTTCATAGTTAGAATGTATATTCTGAACAATATTAATAAAAAGTATACCCTCTCTATAGGAATGTAATACACCAAAATGTCCAAATAAAATAATCAAACAAATTTGCTAATTTCGGGAACTTAACTTAATAGTTTTAGGAAAATAATACTCCATAAATAATCAAATAATCAACAAAATCGGTTAATTTCGGGAACTCAGTAATTGTTTCACTGTTTAATTCTGAAATCCAAATTAAAAATTGAACTAATTTATTAAATTAGTATGATCTTTACAAAAATCGAATGTTTAATATGTGTTATTCGTTAAAATGTGTTTGTGTGTCCTGTAGTAAAAAAAACCTTTTTAGTATTAAAAACACAAATAATCCAAAACTGGAAAATTTTTTCAAAATTTTTGTCTTCAAATACTGAATGAATGGCAAAGTTGAGCGAAAAGGTTACAATAGCACTGTCTTGTGCTCATTCAACTGACAAATTTCATTTGTATTGATTAGTCAGCTCCAATTTGTGTGGGATCCTTGGCTTGGGTTACTGCCAATCGGCTCGGCTTAAGTATAGAACCCAACCAACCACCTCGGGCTCAGAGTCAAAGTCTATTTTACATTTCAAAGTGTCAGACGCCATTAGAATTGCCGAGACCTATTCCTATAACCGCCGAAGGAAGGGGCGCTGCATGTCTATTAAATTCCAGGCGGCAGACAGTGCGTGAGAAAAATTTCCGCATCAGACAAGGACAAGGCGACAAGATTCCTAACACGATGCGTATTATTGTCATAGCCATGTCGTTCGATGGCCTCCTTTCAGCCCCCCCTCCCCCTTCGCCTCACCCACCCACAGTTTCTGGCCTTAACGCACCCACAACCACATTTGCATAGCCATCGTTTTGAGTTGCCACGTTTTGACTTTCGCTAATTAAAATCGAAATCGAATCGTTTGAGTGCCCCAGATAGATATGATTTGATGGGGGCTGCAACTCGAAAACAATTACCATTAATAATTAATGGCAATCAGGGTGTGAGTGACATGCGTCACTTCATTGATGTGCAGTGGCAATGTATGGCTTACTTGGTATGCAATGGTTGCCAAAATGCCGCAATTTAAATAAACACAAAATTAATGCTAGGCCAAAAGTATTTTTAAGTTGCAACATTTCATATGATTTACTTTTAGCTTATCAAATAGAATCCTTAGCATATAAGCTGCCATTTGAAGTTCCCAATTCAATTTCATTTAATTTTCTGATAAGGCTTTAAAAGACTTCTGTGTAACAGGAAATGTGTATTTATAATAAAGGACATTAACAAACAAGATTAATAAATGCAGGCCTGAGTTTTGGCTTTTTGTTTTGTTTCTACCCGAGAATCAACTGGCTGTTTCGCAGCTTCCATTCAGATGGCACCTTTGGTTGGGGCCAAAATGCCATTTGAAGGCTGCTGAGTGTAATCCATCGCCTAATTGTCAGTTATGCCAATTGTCATTCGTGGAGGCTCCTGCAGAGTCATTATGTCGATCCATTTCTAATCGGGGATCCATATCCCCAAATTCCGCTGCCATTTCCATTTCCCTTCACATTCACATTCACATACCCATGCCAAAACCAAATCAAATTCGGTTGTCAAACAGTCAGTGCAGTCAATGCAAATTGTGTTTACATATGCAAAACGAGTTTGTCATATACGCAGAAACTCTTCATATATAATTATACACATGGTCGGCCAGTGCTTGTTAAGTCGAGTGTAAGCCCCTCGAATTTGCACTGTTCCGGTAAATTATTTAACAATCGAGCCCACTTGTCTGAATGGGTTCTTTAAAGGAGTGCAAATGATTGTGGAAATATTTTCCGCTGACCCGAAAAAAAACAACGCGAAAGCTTCACAGGCAGATTTGATTTTGTTTTATCTGTACATATTTCACCCACAGCTGTCCTCAGATTAATTGTGGCGGGCAAAGGAAAGTTACAATTATTTAATTTTAATAATAATATAAATTTAATTTTCTTCAATTATAATGAAATAGGCTAACAAAAAGTATTTTAAAACGAAGGCTAATGTTCTAAAACCATTTTATAAATGTAATTAAAAGTAAGACAAAAAGTATTTGAAGTCCTAGATCAAAACATTAAAAAAGGGTGATAAATAATGTAATTGAGTATTAAAGGCTATTGCGGATTTATCCAATATGCTTATAAAATGAACCAACAACAAATTATATGTTACACATTTTTTTAATTTAGCTTATAGATAATCAAGAAAATCACTAATTTGTGAACTGAAAATTCTCTAAGAACCACAAGCTTTCCCAAGAATTATTTTGAAATATCCAGTACACTTTGAAATTATCCAAGCCTAATATTACACACTGTTATAGGTACTTTGTTTCAGATTGAAGTATGTTGGCCTTGTCAAAAACATGCAAATACTACCCCTATTATTGCGCACACGGCTGTTCGTATTTGTGTGTGTTGCAATTCGGTTAGCGTGCATCTGAAATGCAGTTGAATATTTTTTGGCAACATATCTAATAGAACCAAACAAAAAGAGTGGATATATGTGTGGAAATAAATTCTGGCTGTCCTGCGGTGGTGGCCACATTTAGGAGACTATTCTAGGGGGTTAAGTGGTGTGGTGGGTGGTTCAAGCACACAGCGAGCGACAGAGACAGAGAGATATAGGGGGGGAGCGAGAGAGAAAGAGAGAGAGAGAGCGGCAGGCAGGGTGGGGGGTTGTTTCTGGGTGGTTTTCGGGGTGGTTTCTGGGAGGTGGCAGTATTTTATGGAGGGACACGCGCGAGCACAGACTAAAGTTTCACGGGGGAGACGGAAAGGGGGAGTAAAAGTTGGCAATACTTACGCGTATTATCTTCTGATCACGTATTATCTTGCGTATGCAATTGACGATGAACGTAATGACCATTCCGCCGAGTATCAGGCCGAACACAATCACGATGATGACCACATGCTCCGATTGGCCGGCCGCCTCGCCCTGCAAAAAGACACGGAGTTGGAGTCGGTTTAATTGCCATTTTAATTGCATTATCGAATTACCAAGCCCTTTCCGAGGACTCGGATCAAAATAATCAAAGTGTGGGTTTCCTTTCGCCACTTAATTAAGTGTTCGTGTACGATACTAATCGCCAGCTAATGACCATTGGCTGATGCTGGAAGCATTTTACGTTAAATTAGCTTACACAATTAGTTTCGATTTAATTAAGTCTTCCTTATTTTTTTCTAATCATTAGCAAAAACAGAGAAATTTTAATGATTTTCAATTAAGTTTTAACTAAAGAAATTTTTAAAGTAAATTAATATATTTCTTGGTTTTAGTTTAATATTATTTTCATCGGTTAACTAAATCAGTCGAGAAAAATCATGGAATAAAATTCCATTTCGAAAGTTTTCATTTAAAGTTTTAACTTAAATTGGCAAACGTTTTTCAATATTTATTGACCTATAATTATGGGCCCTAAATATAATATATGCCAGATTTTCATGACAACTCTGGGCCATAATTAGCCGCCTTTATTTGGCCATTCTGACGTCATAAATTATATGCGCCTAGTAAACATGGCATATGTATATTCTGGACCGATTTTAATGTCGGCCAATTAAATAAACATAACTTGTGCATGCGCTTGATTGAGCAATTGATTGAAGCCTGCCTCCACACACATTCATTTAACATCGTTTGAGCAAATTAGAAACCATAAACCGAAACCAGCCAATTCCGCATCGAAAAACTAAAAATTCGATTCCTGGTCAATGCAAATGGCTTCCAATGGGCCTCAATCGAAATTTCATATAAAATTACGAATAATTATGAAAGCATTTGGTGAAACCAAATATCAATTGGCTTTAATTGGGCAAGATATTGAATGGCCAGCGAAATGCGATTTGCCAATGTGGTGCCAAAATTAAATGGAGACATTTAGCCAAAATTAAAATTTTTATACAATTTGGATAAATGTGTTTTGTTGTGACCAGAAATATTTTCAATAGTTATGAGAACAATTTATACAAGGGCTGTGGTTTTAATAGAGCTGTATTTTATTTGTTCTCTGGTTGGGAATTAATGGGTTTCAAATATATGTTTTATGCTCTTTTCCAAATGGTGAAAGTAAAAAGTAATAATAAGAAGATACATTTAAAGCTTGTGTAAATTGTGTATTTTTTAAGTATAGTAATAGATTTTAGCTCTTCAATAATTATATTATGTCCTTAGTTCTATGCCATTTTATCAATCGCCCATCGCTTCTATTGCAGATTTCTCAATTTTATTAAGTTAGTTTTGCTATCATCACAAAAAAGCTTCTTTGGCAATGCCCTTTGAAATTATATATTTATAATGCAAAAACATATGCATTTTAAATATCAATACGTTGTTATATACATACTTCATCATGCATGTGATGAGGCAATTTTTGTTAACTATACAAGCCTAAAATAAAATTGTAATCGTTTTGAAAATATTGCTGTTTTGTTTTTCGCTACGTTACTATCAGATATGTGTTTAAAGTTATTAGTTTGGCCAGCCAGGACTTAATAACTTGTAGTGCTTGTAGCTCCTGAATGCCATAAGTAAAGATTTACTCTCATGCTGTGTTTCATAGTTGGCTATTTTTACAAGGGATTTACAACCTCATTTTGGAATGAAAAAAGTGGCAAGAAGAGAGTGGCTTAGATGGTGCTGCATGAATCATTCCCTGTGATGTGTTGGTGGTGCGAGCAACTTGAGTCCGGTGACTTTATCAAATCTAATGATCTAATGCGCTGATGTTCAACTTCTGCGCTGCTGGGGGATGCCCTGCAAATAACTGTTATTTACGGCTAACGAACAAGCCCCGCAAGGAACAACAACGACAACAAGGCCTTCCTGTAACACAAACCTCAAACTTTGCCAAACAAAACTTATTTGACCAACTTTGTGTGTGTGTGTGTTTGTGCCGGTGCAGGATTCTGTATTTGTGTGTGAGTGTGTGAGTGTGCGTGAGTACGTGAGTGTTTTTGGGTGTTGCCATCATCGGCGTGTCGAGCATACTTATAATGAGCGGTGTGGGGGGGCTTAGGGGTCAGGGGTCACGGGGTCAGAGGGGCTGTCGGTTTTGAAGCCGGGCCAACGAGCTGGCCTATAATTAGATGCACGTACAAACGTCCCCGTTTTGTGTGCGAGTGCACTGAAAGAAAATACCCCATCCTTTGGTGACCCAAAAATCTACCTTTGCAGTGAACATGTAAAATTTCGTTTTTTGATATAATTCTATCGGTCATTCTGTATTTATTGGTGTTGCTCCCCTTAATTATTTCACTTAATCTTATGTAATATGCAAGCAAGATGTAGAACATTTTTAATTGAAACGAATTTGTTAAAATAAAACCATGTTGTAATAGGTATTTTTGGGCCTTAAAACGGCAAACTGCTTTTCTCTGTATAGACGTGTCACTTACCGTACAGCCCTCCTCGTCCCATCGAAATTTACAATTGTCTTTGTCATTACATTTCAAATCCTTTGATATGCAGGTCGCGTCCTCGCAATCGTACTCATCCTCGCTGCAGGCTGCCAAAAAAAAGAGGGAGGGGCCACAGTTTGGAAGTTAGAGAAAGTTGTAAAAAATTTGGCACAAAATGGCACTTAAAGTGAGAGGACGAGGGCAACGGCTAAAATGACTAAAATGGCTGAAACGCCAATCAAAGCGCAAATCGCACTGTGGAATGGACAATTGAACTTCAATCGAGAGTGCTCTCCACTGGAGATGAGTAAATCGGCTGCAAAAAATGTATATTGTCATACGAACGCTATTCAAAAGACATTCCAATATGGATTTTTTTTGACGTGGCAGGACAATTGAGTGTGAGAGCCATACTTTGTTGGAAATATACATAATTTCAAAATATCGACAATAGTCAACATTGAAAATGGAATTTCAAGCAAATGTAGTGACAATTCATTGAGCTAAATGTATTTATTGACATTGTTAACCTGTCTTTGCTAGATTGACAAGAAGGAATATGCAATTACCGAGTATTATTTTATAATAAACATGAAACTAAGCCCTTTATATTCTTTTCATTATTATTATTCTTTATAAATTTATTTTATCGTTTCCAATTTATTTATATAAGCTAATAAGTTTTTATGAGTTTCGATCAACAAATTTCTAAATACACTTGTATTGAAAAGGGAGCCGTTTCATATACTGTTCTATTGCATACTATAAAGTTTAGCTTTGAATTCGGTTTAAACACCCATTGACTTTTATTTTATTCTTGCCATAGAGAACCGAGCTCGATTCAACATTAAATTCAATGCCAATTCAATTTGACTTAAAGCTTCGATCAATTGTGAGCTTTAAATTGATGGACTTTCCACGGTGCAGCCATTGAAAGGCGACGATGGACGAGACCACAAAGCAAATGCACGTAATCTCCGACATAAATCGCTCAACCAACAACAATAATTGCCGATGCTGGCAGTCGAAGTAGATGAAGCCGATGGAGCAAGAGTTTCTGTAGCAGAAGGAGCTGATGTCGAAGGTCCTGGAGACCCGGATTCGGTGGCAGGATAGGGCAGGGCAGGGCAGGCAGGGCATGGTTTTCTGGCTGCCTAAAAGTAAACAATGCTGGCCCGGGGACAAAGGACAATCGTTGAATGACAAAAGAGTGCTTAGCCTTTTGCCTCAGGCAACTGGCGGCAATCACGCAGGACCTCCGCATCCTGCGTTTCCTTCAGACATTCAGACATTCAGACATTCAGACGTTCAGACAACCAGACATTCAGACATTTGGACAGACAAACAGATAGATAGAGGATATGGTGGCTGGTGGAGATAGTTGGTTAGACAAGCGACTCCTTCCACTGTTCCATCTTCCAACTGCCAAATGGGCAGCCGAAAAAGGGGGTTGGCGGTACCTCGACGGGATTTGGGGCCAGCTTAGCACCGGATTGCCCCCGAGGATTTCGGGCATGCCTTTGTACTTTGCGCCCCGACCATTTGTTGCCAATTCGAAGGATTTGCCACCGCCATCAAAGGGCCCTCGACTCGACTTGGAATCGGAATAAGAATCAGGTTCCAAATCAGAGCCGGAATTCTAGCGAATTGGACTTACCAGCTCCTCGGTCTCGGAAAGCCGTGTACAGAATGCTGAATGTCGAGTTAATCGCGATTTGATCTGCGTAAAAGCGCAAGTGCAAAATGTTTGACTCCGCCGTAATACTCTCGCCAGCCGAACCGCAAAAGTTCTTAACTCTGAAACGAAAATAAGAGTAAACCAGTTAGTAGGGTGATAATATAGTAATCATTATTTCAATAAAGTTGTATGAAAAAGAAATGGGTAATAAAAATCACTAAGAACCATCAAATCATATTGCTGTTAAGTTGGCAATTATTTTTCACATCAGTTGGATGACTTTTATTGTTTCTCTTAAGAATTTTAGTTAACTACATTTTCGAGTTGGAGGAGCGTTTTAATTGTTATAAAATTAAATACAAGTCTGTTACTATTAATTCAAATATGTTGCAATTTGTTCAACGATAAATAACTCGTTGAAATAATACATGTATCAGTTGGATGACTGAGTAATTAATTATCCAGTGATTGATATAATTCCACTGCAGTAAATCCTATTACTTTGCCAAAACATTTTGCACAAAATAAAGCCTTAACTTGCAGTCAACGAGCCGGTCTCCGCTCCCGGGGCAATATATCTTCCATTCGTTAAATATTTGGCCATCGATAGCACGCCCATAATCGATAAATAAATAATTTATAATATGGCTTAAATAATGACGTTCACTGAATATTGTATTTATGTTCATTTGGTCTGTCTGTGGCTCCGGGTGTTTTCTTTATGGTCTTTCAACGAATTTTACGCAGGCTGACATTTTCTGGAAAATCTGATTGTGGAAAGGCGGCTGCGTGTGGCCACCCGTCGTGTGCGATAAATTGTTACGAAAAATGAATTTAAATGAAAGTGACAAAGGCATCAAATCAATGGCTAAAAAAGACGGGGAGGCCGCCGCCACCCACGGAATTTTCCACTTTCCATTTGCCATTTTCCAAGAGCTGAGAACGCCAGTCAATCAATTTGAGTGTTGTCCCGAGCAGCGGCAACAAGTGGAAATGTATTGGCGCGTTAAAAGCGGATGTCAATGCGTGTCGAAGATGCCGTGGCGAGTCTTTCGGTCTTTCGGTCCTTCAGTTCGTCATTCAGTCATTTAGTCAGTCAGTCAGTCAGTCAGTCGACCGGGAGGTGACGAAATACTCTTACTATCGCGGAAAGGGACGAAGGATATTGGCTGTGCGAGTCAAAGGCGACGCCACTTCCGCTCGCGTACATTTACTTTTGGCCGGTAATAAATTGAAAATTTGCTTTCGCCCAGGCTTTGATCTCGCTTTTTTGGCAATGCGGAAATTGGTTTGCGGCATTGCGTATACGCCACCGACATTGCGTATACGCCACCGACTGCATTCAACAGCCTCGCGCTGCCAATTTTGTCTGCGGAGCGCTGCGGAGCTCGACAAAATGTCATTAGGCCGCGTATCGAAGGGCCTCACCTCAATGGCATCACCGTCTGCTCGGGGAATATATCCAGGAAGTTGGTCTCGCAATCGTTCGGCTTGCTCAGCTTAAAGTCCAGAAATTTAAGAAATATCTGTGAAAGGAAAGAAATAAATTTCAAATTAAAATAAGTTCTTATTTATTTCTTTTGTTGAGCAGTATTTTGAAATGGGTTTGAATATTTTAAAATCCGAACTCCAATGGATTCATTACAAATGACGACGTTGTCATTTCATTGCATACTTTTAGACACATTTATAAACAAATTTCAAGCTCTTGTGATTTCTGTGAAACCTCTTACGCGAGAGTAAAGCCAATCAACAGTTGGAGCGAGAATACTTTTACTCCACTGTGTTTTTGGCAATTTATTCAATATTTGTCATACATTACTAAATCGAACATTACCTTCCAGTTATCCTTGACCTGAATGCGCCAGATGCAGTCCAAGGCAATCTTGTTGCGGATGACCTGCTCCCGGATCTCCGCGGGCACGTCCGTGGAGTTGATGAATCCCTCGTAGCCGTCCTTGTCGATGGTGCAGTTGAGATCGGTGCTGGGCGCATCCCGATTCCTGTCCATATACTCGTAGACCGCACTGAAGCCCGTGTACTCGATGGTCTCGTCGGAGTGGAAATGCAGCCACAGGTACCGCTCCTTGGAGGTGATCTCCGGCGGAAAGTCGGTGCCGCAGAATTTACCGATCAGCGTGGAGAAGCCGTACTGGCCATCCCGTATCTGCAAGGATTCCGCTCGTTAGTTCAACTGGTTGGGGCTAAGCGCACAGGCAGTTTTTCTTGGCCTAAACCGCTTTGGTCGGGCTGCACTTAAATCAGGCTTACGACTTGCAGCCCAGAGACAACATTCAATTAAAACTTGACATTTTTCGGTGCAAAAAAGGGCCAGGCAGTAACAGCAGCGACGGCCGAAGTAACAGGGAAAAGTCGTAAAGGAAACAAATCGAAAACTTTGCAAGTCCGCCCAAGACCAAGCAAAGCCGAGCAACTAAGCAAGTTTTTGTTTCGCCCTTTTTTTATGCCCTGGCCTCAGCATGCAACAAAGTTTGTCTTTTTTATGCGCTGACCCTTTCAAGTTGGTTATGTCAGGTTTTGCTACACAGCGAGAAAATATCTCTATTCATAGTCAGCTCGACTTTTGTTTATTGTCATAATAACTGCCACCTGTGACACTTCTAGTATAAGCACCAATGAAAGTTTGAAAAATCTCTGTTTTTTACATACTTTAAATGAATTAAGAAATATAATAAATATAAATTTCAAATTTTGCCCTCAAATATTATCTCTGTGCATTTGTCAGCTACCAGTACTTACTTCGAGAAAATCAAATTTGCACTCCTCCTTGGCCTCGATATTAAACGAGTTGCGAAAGTCCAGGCGTATGATTTGTCCCTTTGGCGCTGTAATTAGATGCCGGCATCCGCAGGACAGTGGCGCAGAGAAGAGAACGGGACAAAGCAACACGTTAGTCCACAGACATATATATTCCATCATTCCACGGTAGCCATGGCGCCCAACCGCACTCCCACTTCCACTTCCACCCAGGTGGCCAGATCCCTGGCTTATTTAAAGTCAAATGGCCCCGAGCCGAGCAACTGATTAACAACAGTTCACCGCAGCGTCTTGGCCATTCAAAGGATAATATGGCTAGCTGGGGTTCGGCTGGCCGAAATTGTAATGCCCTTAGCCAAACCTTAATAGCTCTGGATTTGAAACAATTCAGGAAACATAGTTAGCTATATGCTTTGCCCTCTTTGGATCCCAAAATTATTGATTCTAAGATTTCCAGAGGTGCTAGGATGTGAATCAATTTAAATTTTAGCTTATGTTGGGGTATTTCTATTGGTTACTGTGCGTATATTCTACAAACTGTTATTGCTCACATTAAATACTGACCTTGTACATTTATCTATTATTGTTTTCTTATTATTACCTTACCCTATTTATGATCAAAAATGAGTAGTACTATGTTCAAGTTGTTATTGGCCAACAATTCAAAAAAAATGTACAGTAAAAATGACTCATCACCTTTTATATTTTACTCCACTCACTATAACACGCTCAAATTGGCCCATAATTTGGTTACCTAAACAACCGGTGGGCTAATAAAAATATTTGTGAAAATTTCCGCATCTCAGTGATCCGACCATAACTAGATCCTTTTTGGCACAAAGCAAGATAAACTTTTAGGGGCAAAGAAAAGTGAAAAGACAGGACCCAATCTCGTATCTATGGCCAAAATGAAAGCGTCTGGGGACTCATTTAGTGGCCGCATAAAAGGAAGAAGGCATCAAGATGCTGGACATACCCACACTCGTCCACTTGTCCACCCACTCACCCACTCATTCATTCATTCACTCAACCATTCATTCATTCATTCACACGCGCATTGCGGGCCATACACATTCAGACAGCGAATCCTTGGCATGAATCAATGGCGATGGGCTGGGTCTGGCATTTGAAAATACATTTTACCCTGGCTTTTCTCAAAAGGAACCTTTGTGGCCAATGTGGCATAACAACACACACCACACACACATACACACACACACACAGGCAATTGCCCGGGCGTTAACACCCACACACACTCACATTACATAATGGAGATGGACAAGTAATGAAAGTTGGAATCACGGACAGACGGAGAAAAGGAACTTGAAAGGGAATATAATTCCACATTGATTGGCCTTGAAAAAAGAAAAGAGGGGAGTCCAGGCATACATTCATACAAATGGGGCGTTATACGTAGCATTATCAAATTACGTAGCCCCCAGGCAATGGAAAATTCCAAACTGCACTTGCAGTCTTTCCCCAGACCCATGGTTAAAATCTAATTACTGAGCCCATCTGCCAAATCTGGCCAATTGATGACTGTCATAACGGCTGCACAAAAAGAGCATTACATAATTACACATCGAATGGCCTTTATGGTACCTAATACCTTTTCGTACAGAGTGCTGAAAATTGAGATCAAATATCGGGTGATTCATTTTCGGAAACATTGTGTTCATTGTGTGCATGAATTGCGTATACGCCACCGTGGTCACTGGCTGAGAGGCATGCCAAAATTCCACAGAATTAAGTTTCAAGACCGAACAAAAGAGATCAATGTGAACAAATGGGACAGGTATTCATCAGAAATGTTCGATAAATTTAGCCTTCAATCAATTTCAAACTGGCCAAATGTCTCTAAATGTTAAATATTCGTTATTTAATCCAATTTAAACTTTTACCAAAATTGAACGACAATACAGCTGCTATACAAATACAAAGTTTTTATAACTGCTGGGGTATATGAGCTTTGTTTCTTTGTTTTTTGTTATTCATTGAATTGCTAATATGAACTAATTTATATAGTTAAACAAGAAAGGAAGCAAAACTTAGGTAAGCCTTGCAGTTAATACAAAACGACTAAATTTTAATTTGTATGCCTATATTCAAAACAAGAGAGAACGCTATAGTCGGGTGCCCCGACTATCAGATACCCGTTACTCAGGTAAAGCGAGTGCGAGGGAGATGGAGATAGAAACTTTGATCACGCATAACTTTTTAACGAATGGTCCGATTTGAAAAATTTCTTCTACATTTCGATAGGTATTGATAAACACAATAAAACTGCATTTTTACTTTTCCGAAATATTTAAATGTATCCTATATAAGCGATTGTGGGCGTTAAAGGGGGCGTGGCACCTTTTTGAAACAAACTTGCGCTGCGTAGGAACTCCTAGAATCTGCATGCAAAATGCCAATCTTCTAGCTTTTATAGTTTCCGAGATCTCAGCGTTCATACGGACAGACAGACAGACAGACGGACAGACAGACGGACAGACGGACAGACGGACAGACGGACAGACGGACAGACGGACATGGCTATATCGACTCGGCTAGTGACCCTGATCAAGAATATATATACTTTATAGGGTCGGAAACGCTTCCTTCTAGCTGTTACATACTTTTGCACGAATACAATATACCCTTTTACTCTACGAGTAACGGGTATAAAAACAATAAAGCTATGTCGATTTTGCGCTGCATTATCTGCTTTAATTTGGTAAGTTATGGACTTTTCACTTTTAAGTCACTCTTTTACAAGACATCGGTAAATTAGAAATAACTAACATGAAAATGGGAATGACATGAGAATCGAATTAGAAGTCTTTAGAGGTATGCCACTTTGGAATCGGATTAAATTTGACAAAGTTATGGATTCTAGAAGTCCAATTTTGGGTCATCGTGAAAAATGTCATCGGAAAATTAGAAATAACTAACATGAAAATGGGTCAAAAATTTGATCAACGTTAAATTGAAAATTTTAAATGCAGATTTTTAGAGAATCGAACCACCAGTCTTTAGAGGTATGCCACTTTGGAATCGGATTAAATTTGACAAAGTTATAGATTCTAGAAGTCCAATTTTGGGTCAACGTGAAAAATGTCATCGGAAAATTAGAAATAACTAACATGAAAATGGGTCAAAAATTTGATCAACGTTAAATTGAAAATTTTGAATGCAGATTTTTAGAGAATCGAACCTCCAGTCTTTAGAGGTATGCCACTTTGGAATCGGCTTAAAATTGGTAAAGTTATGGATTCTAGAAGTCCAATTTTGGGTCAACGTGAAAAATGTCATCGGAAAATTAGAAATAACTAACTGAAAATGGGTCAAAAATTTGATTAAAGTTAAATTGAAAATTTTGAATGCAGATTTTTAGAGAATCGAACCACCAGTCTTTAGAGGTATGCCACTTTGGAATCGGATTAAATTTGACAAAGTTATGGATTCTAGAAGTCCAATTTTGGGTCAACGTGAAAAATGTCATCGGAAAATTAGAAATAACTAACATGAAAATGGGTCAAAAATTTGATTAACGTTAAATTGAAAATTTTGAATGCAGATTTTTAGAGAATCGAACCACCAGTCTTTAGAGGTATGCCACTTTGGAATCGGATTAAATTTGACAAAGTTATGGATTCTAGAAGTCCAATTTTGGGTCAACGTGAAAAATGTCATCGGAAAATTAGAAATAACTAACTGAAAATGGGTCAAAAATTTGATTAACGTTAAATTGAAAATTTTAAATGCAGATTTTTAGAGAATCGAACCACCAGTCTTTAGAGGTATGCCACTTTGGAATCGGATTTAATTTGACAAAGTTATAGATTCTAGAAGTCCAATTTTGGGTCAACGTGAAAAATGTCATCGGAAAATTAGAAATAACTAACATGAAAATGGGTCAAAAATTTGATCAACGTTAAATTGAAAATTTTGAATGCAGATTTTTAGAGAATCGAACCTCCAGTCTTTAGAGGTATGCCACTTTGGAATCGGCTTAAAATTGGTAAAGTTATGGATTCTCTCTCCTATAGCCGCCATATATCTGATTGATCGGAAATGCCATAACTTTGGTGTTTTAAAAGTTAAAAAGTTGGGATTTTGTATGGGTTTTATTTGTGGTCAACCAATATAATTTACAGAATATTCTTAAGGAATATTCGGCTCCGCCCAAAGTTAGCTTTCCTTTCTTGTTTGATTTAAGTTTATATTTCTGGTGAAACAATTTTTAGTCTTGTATTGCGTATACGCCACCTTGTCCGGCTTGTACTATATTTATAAAGCAAAGTGCCCGAAAATATAAGCTATCTGCCAAGAAATATAAAAATAAACTCCGACTCCGAATAACTCTGAGCTTTCGATTCCCCGGCCGCAGGACCTTTATGCCCGCAAGTCCTTACGGCATTTGTATGCTCTGCGGGACACCCATCATGGCCATAAAGCGAACCTCAGCTGGCTGCCTTTGTTGGCCCGCTTAGTCCAACATTAACGTGGAGCGGCACACACATTGATATGCAAATAGGCCGGTGCCATCCCCAAGTACTCGTACTCGTAGTCATACTCCAACTCGCATTCGTTTTCGTACTCGTACTCGTACTCGTACTCGTACTCGTACTCGTACTCGTAATGCTAAGCACACAGCTGGGGCTACATATGCTGGCATATTCGTAGACACAGATACTGGGACCGCTGATGCGTGCTTATGGAAAGTCAATCATTCGCTTTCAGGTTTTATCTGTCAGCTCTTGACTTTTGCAGTGACATTATTTTGTCTTAACTGACAAATGATTTGGCCTCCAACCGACTTTAGATAAGCATTGGAGTTGACTGGGAGTTCCCGAGTTGCGGTGGCGGAGGCAGTGAAGCGAGTGCAGCTCAAATATGATGACAACCCGTCGACCCGTCGACCCGTCGACCCCTCGACCCAGCCCGGCCCACACACAATCCCCAATCGAGGGATCGTATTATGGTGCCCGGGGAAATGGGAATGGAATACGGGGAGCCAACGCGCTAACGCTTTTAAATGGGCCACACAAAACGGCCCTGCCATGTGGAATCTGTGTGGAGCATCTTACGCATCAGCGCCATCTAATGCCTCCGGTTCACTGGTTCACTCCTTCTCTTCTCTTCTGTTCTCCTTCCTCCCCAAACCCAATCCCAATCCCAATCCCTTTCCCGAAGACTGACTGAATGACGTACTGACTGACTGACTCACTGACTGACATCTGGTAATGTCAACAGCAGTGGCAGCCAAGACTTGGCCAAAGACTTTGCAATTATTTGCAGTAGCTCGCTCGTCGCCAAGTGCTTGCCATATAAACTTTTACGAGGCCTGCACTCCACTCCACTCACACTCGAAGAAAAAAAGGGGTCAATTGGATCTTGTTTCACATACTAAATAAGCCTATATCTTGAACTAACACGTAATATATTTATAAGACTTATTGGAAAATTGAAACTTGTCGGGTAACTATTTAACAATGATGTTAATGTACATAAACTAATTAGCCAAATAATCATTTTTATTAAAGCCTGCTTAATGAACAAAATCAATACAAAACTGTAACTCTACAAATGACAGAATTGACCTCTGACCTATTTTCTCTCAGTGCACACTCACTCCCATACTTGCTAAATGGAAGCCGACTGCCAATTGGCTTCCATCAAAAGTTTGTATTTGTCTTTGTAACTGTGGAATACAGATACAGATAATGCCAATGATACTGCTGGATTTTGCCAGACTGATTGTTAATTGCTTAGCCGTAGCTAATCCACAAGAATGAGTTCCTGTGACTGCCATGAATACAGCCTGCAATTAGTTGGTGCTTAAAACGTTGGGATACCTGAAAAAATATCCGTTTAGATTCATGGGCTTCTACTTACGAAACATTCGTTTACGAAGCCTATGAATAATGAATGACACGGATTTGTCAGGCTCTAAATATATTTTATTATTCATTTGTAGCTAAATGCCCTGAGTTCCACGAAATCAAATATCGAACCTGACTCTTAAGTCTTTTTAAACTTTCAAAGTAAAATCATGATTTTATAACTCATCGGGTGTTTAGGCTTTTTGAAATAAGACTTAAATTGAAATAAGACTTATTGAGATAAATATACAATGATCAAATATATTTTCTAAATTCTAAAATATATTTTTAAAACCATTTTCAATGAACTTTTTATTCCAGTCTTCTAACTTGCCTAAAACTTGATCTACCCCGAATATTCTAAGGAGGTCCCCCACTATTTTGGATTGGTACTCACCTGTTATCACCCGCGTGCAGTTGATGTTCTTCGGATAGAGGTTGGGATACTCGGGGCTGTACAGCTCGTTCTTGGTGGGATCGCCCTCGACGAACAGCCGGCAGCGGTCCACCTGGTCCGCCTCCGCCTGCCGCTCGCTGCGGCCCGCCCTCGGCGGTCGGGAAATGGTCAGCGCATGCCGCTCCTCCCCCAGTCGGCCTCCCCCTCCCCCTCGGCCACATCCTCCTCCCGAAAGGGCGTGGCACGGGAGAAGTTCGATGGGCGGTCGCCGGGCGGCGCTGTCAGCGATTCTTTGGTTGACGTCGAGCGATTTTCGATTAACTCACTGCCCGCAGAAGCTGCAAGGAAATGGAGGGGAAATGGAAAACAACTGAGTATGCAGTTTGAGTGGCTATATATACAGATATTTCTATATGCGCGCACAGTTTCGGGTGGCATCATTACATTTTAGTATGATAATAATAATCATAAGCATTAAAATTTATGCGGCGGGCAGACTTGTTTTTTTTCCATAATAATGTGCATAACTTTTCGCGGGCCAAAAACTAAAAATGAGAAAAAGCACAACAACGGAGCACAGGTAAAGCATATATTTAAAAAACGTGAATATATGCCGGCACGTTGCTCCTGTATGTTTTTACAGATGTGTTTGTACGCAGACATGTAGACGCTTTCCCATTTTCACTTTCGCTAGTCTTTTCTCGAATTTGTTTTTTATAAAGGCCATAAACATATTCATGGAGCATTGCATACTTTTTATTTTTGTGAGACTTGACAAAATTTAATTTAAATAAAAGGGTCTTGGGTAATGTAAACCTCTATTTAAATGCGAGTTCGATTACGTCTTAAAAGTGTCTTTGCCTTTTTTTGAATCTGTTTTTAATACATGATTTAATAAGAAAAGGGGTTTGGCTTTAATCAAGGCGATTTTATTAAATAAATTGTCGAATATTTGTTTGGAAAACTTGAACTATTTTAATGAAATCTCAAAAGTAAGAAAATCCGAGAACACAATCGTTGGTAACTTTTAAAAGGCCAAACTGCCGGAAAGTATGCAATGCATATTTTGTATTAAAGCTTCCACTTGCGACTTTCCCTCGCTTTCTCCCACTCTCTCCCCCACTCTCTCTCTCTCCCACTATTTTTCTGTTTGAACAACTGTGACTGTAACTGCAGCTGGAACAGTAACTGTAACTGTGACTGTAACAGCAACAGTAACTGAAACTGCACCTAAACAACAATCGTTAAGCCCATGCAAAGTAGCCCAAAGCACCGCACAAACACATCGCAACGTGCCGCGGTGTGGGTGAGTTGCTGTGTGTGTGTGTGTGTGTGTGTGTGTATGTGCAGGGCATTGGCACAGCCAACAAAAACTTGGTCAAAAGAAACCGACGCACCTCCGATGCCCTCGATGTTAGTATAAAACAGTAGAACATAGAACAGAATAAATATGATGTAAGACATTTTAAGTATACCCCTTCATACCACTTAAATTATAATACTATAAAAGTCATTGGTGCTTTAAAATCGCCTTTAAAGGTGTACAAAAGTAAGCAACTATATATTTTGAGTCCGGAAGTACGAAGGATTCATTGCGAAAGCAAACATGCTATTTTTCACTGCATGCTTTTTGACAGCTTTATTGGTGATTTCAAAATTCAAGTGATTTCTGTGGCCACCTCGATTATAAAATAATAAATATATTTTAGCCATGTAAATTTATTCAATAAATATCCACGTATCAAACAAATATTGTTTACTATTCCTATACAAATTGATCGCTACCTTTGATAATCTATTGCCATGGTGGCTCCCAAATCAAAAGCAATTAGCTTAATTTTGGTTTCAGCCAGTAAATAGCCAGCTGTTTTGATGGTTGCCAAAACACCGCAACTGATTGGTTTACACATTCATTAGCGTAAATCAGTAAAGTGAATTGAATTGCTATTCACTTAGTTTGAAGTGATATCACTTAATGCACATTAATATAATAGTGGTTTCGAAGTGAGTTCAATTTAAACTTGGAAATCATATATAATAAATGATTGAAATGAGTAAGAACACTTTATCTAAATAAAAATACTGTCTGCAAATGATCTATTTTATATAATATTTTGATAATACTTTAGTCACAACACCTAGATATTTTCAATCACGTGAGAATTTACCAGAATACAAGAAGAACAATTCAAAAAATTGTGCCATATTTCTTGAGCTATTCGAGTCGAGTTTATGGGTCATAGAGTATTTACTACAGTTGTAGCAGCAATACAAACACGACCCGAGAACACACACATCCACACTACACACATACACACACACAAAGGCAAAGAGACATGGGCACATGTGAAGTGTTTGCCTCACATTACATGGCTGCTAGTGCCTAATGATGTAGCAACAAATTTAATAAACATATTAAGTGTTGATGTTTTTGTAATCGCACAGGGCAACGCCAGATGTTACTCCACTTCTCCATCTCCCCCCTGCCCCTCCTCTTTGCTCAACTCACCTCCCCTCCCCTCCGCTCCTCCCCTGTTTGCCTTGCTTTTTTAACACACATGCAGCCTGGCACACGTATAGGCTTCTATGGCATCCGTATTGCCGTTAGTCAAAAGCTGCTTATTTCCGTCCTGATTCTGGTTCTGTTTCCGTTTGTGTTTCTGTTTCGGTTTGGGCTCCTGTTTCTGCCTTCGCTTCCATGTTCCTGCACTCGGGCAACTATTTGTCACATCAATTAAATTAATTTAAATGCGAATACCAAAAGGATTGCCATCTAATGAAGCGTTTAAAATACACCTCCAATTGGTTTCTCTCGCCCTGGCTCTAATCAAAATTGCCATAATTTATGGTAAAGTTAAGGTTTTTAAACTGTCATAATTGATTGGTCTTAAATGGATGGAAATTTCAGTCTCAGTCCTGCAATGCGATCGAGTTTTATGGGCGTAGTTCCGGTTGCCTTGTGTCAATTTCAGTTTTGGCCGCAAGTTGAACTTTCCAACCATAAACTTTTCTACGAAAACCCTCGCCAAACACGCCCCTTTTCAGCCCTTTACTTTGATACACAGAAAACAGTATGTTTAATAAACAGAATTTATTTTATAGTTTTACATATTAAGCCATTTTTTCTCCATCACTCAGAAGATTTTATAAAAATAGCATGTCTAAAGATTCGAAACTGTTTTAAACTTAATTCTTTATTCTCCTTCAAAATTTAAAATTTAACAAGTCAAATAAGTTAAATAGGTAAGGTTTACATTTCAATGGCCAATATGCTATTATCATCAAGGTTTACTAAAAGGTGTAAGAGACATATTTCATAAGGTTAATAGCTATTTGCAATTTTGGTAATATATTAAACGAAAAGATTAATTTTAGCACCTATTTATCATCAAAAATGATTATTTATTGGTTTGGTTATACAAAACTAGCTTTGCTAATATTAGAATTCAGTTATCTTATAGTTTTTTCTCTCTCTACATATATCTCTTGCTAAGTCATTGGATCTCAGACTTCATCGCGTTGTTCATTTATATTCATATTTGCATATGTCTGAGTCGGTGCAGCTGTCAGTGGGTCTTAGTGTGAGTGTGGGTATAAAGTATATCTGCCACGCCTTCCGCACTTCACCACCGCCCACCGCCCACCTCGATCCGAGCCTTGGGCTTGGATTCCTCTCTGCCGTCGTCCCGTATGTATTTTATTCGTCGACGCAGTTATTTGCTTTAATACACTCAATAGACTTAACACATTTTCCACGCCTCCACGCCCCCATTTCCCCACCAACCACTCAACCGCCGCCCACTTTCCACCCACTCGGTGTGTGTTTTGTAGTTTTCTGCAATAAATTTTGCATTTTGCTGGCTCTGCCAGAGACACCCAGCCAAAGGAGAAGCTAAAATAGAATAAAAAAATAAATAATATTTCATTGCAAAGACGACTTGCGAATGAGCGGACACAGTGGCTGACAGGATTTTGAATATTGCCGAAAAATCGTTAAAGAAGAGCTTCCAAATTTGATATAATATTAATATTTTCTTAAAATCTAACAAATTATTAAGGCCGGCTGCGAAATAACCCAGGCCTGACAATCTTATTGTTTTTATTTACTTTCAGATGTATTTTAGATTATTTTATTTTAGATTATTTTAGATTGGAAATTAATGTTCAATGTTGATGTTAATCATAATTTATGCTAAGTTAACGTATAGCCACTAAAATGTAATGTTGCTTTGGTGACTAATTGATTTTAAAGGACTTAAAGCCCTTCAAAAATGCCCTTGTCCAAAATAACCATTTTAAATAACTTTTTCAATTTCTCTTTCAATTTACGTTATTAAATATTAAAAATATTCAAACATTGTTCATTGTTTAAAATCGTGTTAGTTTCACAATTAATGAATAATGTATTACATATTTAATATTCAGAGCCACTGTGCAGCCGGTGACTTTAATTGCAACTGTGACTGCGACTGCGACTGTGACTTGGTCTGTGACTGTGCATATTTATAGTTTTGTATTGTCTGGCAGCCAACCCAGAAACGACTAAAACTGCCTTTTGAGCGCCAGTTGAAAGGGATGTGGGTGAGGGCGCGGAATTCCTTCGGCGGGCAAACGAACTGCAGCTGCAGCTGCAGTCGAGCAAAATGTAACTAAGTATATAATAATTTACAGCTTGCGTTAAATATTTCGACTGCCAACTGGGCCCCGACTGAAACTCAGCCTATTCACAAAGTACATAATTTTCCTATGATTTACTAATTGCTGGAAGCTGCCGCTTGTTGCTCGACTGCAACATTTTAATTTAGAAATGTCTATTGAATAAATTAAGCGTAATGCAACTGGAAAAACGACTTCTAGCATAATCAAAGTAAATACGTACTAATCGTCTATTCAGAGGGACCTTCAGTGCGCTTTGAACTCAGGACAAATACGAGAATGTCGATCCATAATTGAGTGTGCAAACATTCAAACATTGATTTCCTATTGAATAAGGGCCTTCGGCTATGTTCATAAAATTCTACGTCGCTCAATGCAGGCAAACATAGTATTTTTTGCTAAAGTACAATTAGCTGAGCAATTAATTTCATATTAATTGCTTGAGCTAAAGATATAAAATGCATTTATTTTATTAAGACCTTAAAATCTTTAATCACAAAAACACAAAGCTAGAAAACAAAAATAAATGCAAATAATTAAAGTACATATTGTTAGCATTTAAAAACACATCGACAACGTATTCAAAAATATTAATTCATTCCACTTCGCTGGAGAAAATACATGTCAAAGTGCGCTTGGTTTAAGCCGTCTTAGACAGCCGCGTACTATAAAAAAGTGGCCA